GGTTACCCCTGATATAATTTGGACGTAGAAAGAACATCAAGACCGGCTACCGGACTCACATCTGACATGGAACTTTTTAGATTTGGTGCCCGTTTTTAGGTTTCTCTTCTCTTACGGCGATGGTTACTATGGCTTTCAGTGCCGGATCAAATTCCCTATCATCACAAATCATTCCAACGACTGGCCCATTATTGTGAGTAGGCAAAGGATTGTTGGTCACATTGGGAGCCTCTTCATCCCTAAGAACGATTCTTTTAGTGTCAATCAACTCTTCAACTGCCCTCTTGAGGGTCCAACAGTCCTTTGTATCGTGTCCCACTGCTACAGAGTGGTATTCACATCTAGCATCAGCTCGGTACAATAGGGACTCAGGGTTCGACCGATTCGGGGCCACTAGCTGCAACAGACCTAGCCTGATTAACTTTTGAAACAAACTTGAATACGATTCACCAATATGGGTGAATTGATTCCATTTGGGAGGCTCTTTTGGGCAAGGATTGTATTAGGGAACCTTTCGTTAGGGATTATATGGATCTTGGTAGGGACATGCATTTTTGAGAGGTGGAGCTCGATTTTGTGTTTAATGTTATTGCCGCGTGTAAGGTTGCGCGTTCATCACCCCATAGTGAGGCGGTGCCATGGCATAAGTAGCATCTTGATGGGGGTAATAGTGTTGTGGGACCTTAGGAGGCATATATGATTGGTCGAATGACCTTTGGCCCCCCTCTAGCTCAAAGCCATCATGGCTCCCTCTCCTCTCCTATTTATGTTTGCCGAACCCTCCGAGCGGTTCTGAACGGCCTGTGATGTGGCTTTGAAGGCGGCCTGACTTAAGATTCGGCCTGTTTTTAAACCATTTTCAACCATCTCCCCATTTTTGATGGCCTCAGCGAATGCCTTTCCCATAGCCGACATCATATTTTGGAAGTAGTCTGACTCTTGGGCCTGCAGAAAGACCGTAACCATCTCCGCTTCATCCATTAGAGGCTTTATCCTCGTGGACTGCTCTCGCCACTTGACAACATATTCACAGAAACTTTCCATAGGTTTCTTTATCAGATTGGACAACGAATTTCTATCAGGAGCAATGTCCACGTTGTACTGGAACTGGCAGACAACGTCTCAGGATAGTTCATCCTAGACATGCCAATGGACGATCTCTTGATCCATGTACCACTCGGAAGCTATCCCTATAAGACTCTCTCCGAAATAAGATATTAATAACTCTTCTTTTCCACCAGCACCCCTTAGCTGGTTGCAATACCATTTTAGATAAGCGATCGAGTCTCCGTGCCCGTCGTATTTTTTCAAACTTTGGTGTCTTGAAGCCAACCGACAAGTGGACATGAGGAAATATGCACATGTCAGAGTATGAGACACTCTTTTGGCCGCTTAGGCCCAGCATATTTTTTAGTGTTTGTTCCAAGGTTTTCATCTTCCGAGCTATTTCCTCCTGCTCGGGTTTCTTGATCATTCTTTTTTTGCTCAACATGGAACTCATATTGTGGAGGTTGAGTAAATGAGTCCGGGGTGACATAGGTTATTTTTGGTTGAAATATTGGACATTGAAAGGTGAAAGTTGGAGGCTCAACATACGACCAAGATATTATTGGTTGTGCTGTGGTGAAGACTGGTGCTGCAGAGAACACTGCTGGCAGTGCCCTTGAAACCGGCACCTGGGGGAGAACAACAGAAGGCATTCCAAGACCATTAGTGGGCATAGACGAGTATCCATACGGGATGAACGGTTGGTCATAGGGACGATAGTAGCCCCGCTCGGTCTAGGGATTAACTCGAAAAATCTAGGGATAACACTCGGTGGTTCCTTCCCATTAGACTAAGCATCTAGAATTTCCAACACGCGGAGGCATAACATTCTGGCAGCTGAATAGCCGGTGCCGGGCTATCCTCGGGATTAGTAATCGGAAGGTTACTTTCAGAGACCATCGAAACATTTCCCTTTAACCTGGTGAAATATGGATGAGAAGCCAGAATACCAATAAAATCTACCACCTAAAATAGAACCTGGCTTTGGGCACACACAACAAAATTGTTAGATCGAAGCATTTGGGAGATAGGAAATCGCATGTTAGGATGCAATACACCTAACAGTTAAACGCTTCTATCATGTGTTTGAACGGTTGCATTTTTCATCCCTACTTTATTATCTCCTTTCCACTATATACCTCTTTTTCTTTCATTTCCTTCTCTTTTTTTGGTTTTATCACTCTCTTTATTTTCTTTTTTGCTTTTGTCACTCATTGTTTTTCTCTTTTTTTTTTGTTTTGTTTTTTACTCCATTTATTTATGGCTATAATCGCATCCGATTGAGATTGCTTACGTATCATGACGCCGCATGAATCAAACCATTATGTAGTTCAGGGACAAATAGCTCCTAATCAAAGAAAAATATTTTAGATTTTGAATCTTTTTTTCTTTTTCTTTTTTGAAAATTTGAAAGAAAGACTTGTGAAGATTCTTTTTCTTTTTCTTTTTCTTTTGTTTTGAATTTTTGGGAATGTCAAAAGTAGAAAGAAAATATTTTTGTTTGGATTTCGACTCGTTTTCTCTCTTTTGTTTTCTAGAACAAAGAATTTATTTTTTTGGGATTTTGAATGTTGCCTCTAAATTTTCCGAGAGAAAAACTTCTAAGAAAATATTTTGGATTTCTGAGTTTTTTATTTAACTTCCGAAAGCGAATTTCTGAAGAAAAGCAAAAATATTTTTGGACTTCAATTTTCAATTTTTCATGAAATTTACGAAAGAAAGATTTCTAAATAAGAAAGATAATATTTTTGATTTTTAGTTTTTCTATTTGTTTTTGAATTTTTTGGGAGAAAATTTCTATAGAAGGGAAAACATATTTGTGTATTTTGATTTGTTTTTTTGTTTTTTCTGAGAAGGAAAATATTTTTGGGTTAGATTTTTGATTTGGGATTTTCTAAGAAGAGACTTATAAAGAAAGAATTAAAAGAAAATATTTTTTGAATTTATGAAAGTTGGGGCCTGATCCGATGAAGGTTGCCTATGTATCTCACATCCTGTGAGAATCAGACTTGCGTAGTTCGGTAAGGTTTCCTAAAACAGGGGGGCAATCTCATATTTGAAAAATTGGGCTCATTTTGCAACAACCTTCTAAAAATTCGGCAGAGTTTCAGGATATGTTTTTTAAAATATCAATATTTTCAGGAATCGGGTAAATTTTCTCTCTCCTATATTCTTTCTCCTGGGTTTTCTTGATTTGTTTCCCTATTTTAGTAGCAAGTCAACATGCAAACCAGATCGAACAAATGTACAAGTAGCACGCAAGATGCATCACGATGGTCTTGTAATTTTGGGTATAACTGTCTTAGACGGACCCAACCCCTGTGTTGAGTCCCCTAAGTCAAATGCACGTGATGCAAAGAAACGTTCCTACTAGGGATCTGGCATGAGGCTATGTTATTCTAGGTCTAATTCCTAAGGGGAGATGTTTTAGACCTGGCTTACCCAAGCGGACAGCTCGAGCCGAGGTGGGAGCAGCGTACCGGGAGCGCGAAAGTCTACCCAACCTAGCTATTGAACCAATCCCATTCTAATTGGAAGGACCTCTAATAGAAAAGTGGGCCACACGCACGTGTGCACCATAAATTCAGAAGACTTGGAAGGGGGGCGTAAGAAGACAACTTAATACAGTTCAAATAGTATCAAAGCGGTAAATGAGAGACATTTAGCACATTAGGCCCACAAACACAGTAATATCATATAATCAATAAAACCAAGTAGATATCACATTACAAGCTTAAATTCTGAACCCTGAACCAGAAGTTCTGGGTTCTTGTCCCCAACAGAGTCGCCAGAGCTGTCACACCTTCTTTTTACGGCAAAACGCATTTTTTCACTTTAAGTGACATTATTGAAATGAGATTATTTATTTTAGTTTTGAGAGTCGCCAATTGGAATAATTATTTACGGTGTTCCAAGTCACCATTTAATTTAAAATTGCAGTTCAAGGAAATTGACTCTGTTTAAGTCTGCGAAACACAGAAGACCGGGCAAGTAATTTTGTTAATCCGGAAGAAGGTGTTAGGCACTCCCAGATTCCGTGATTTTAGCACGATCGCTTTACACACATAACTTGGCTTGATTAACTGCTAATTACGTATTTTAAAACCTATGTGCATTTTAACCTTTTACCGTATTTAATTTACTTGATTATGGCGTTATGAAATTATCTTGAAACGAACCACGTGTGTGTAAATCCATTTTATTTAGTGTGCTAAAATCATATCACGCGTACGTGTACACGATTAATAACACATAATTAATTATTAAGATTGTTTGGCCAAAGTCGGCGGACGCGTATCTTGATTTATTTTGGGATCATAATTATGTAACGCGAACGTGTACATAATCACGATAATAGATTAAAAGCGCGCCTAAAGCATTCTATGAGTGTTCAAAATTGTTTAGTCTAAACTAATTTATGATTAATGTGAGGCATGATTATGGAAAAGCATTGTGAACTCAAAAGGGGTGATTTTATTTATTTATTTATCCCTAAATGTGTAAACAAACCCAATCTTAACACATTGCATTTATAGAAACAAGAGATGACCGCGTTTTCTTTAATTAATAAATGAATAATATTATTGGCTTGATTTGCAAAGAAAACATGAGCGTAATGCAGCGTGAGTCCAGATCGCGATAGGGAATGGGCTCAACATAGATGGCCCAAACAAAGTTCGCATAATTTCAAGAGATAAACCCCAAATCATTTGTTATTTCGAACTGGGCCTAATAATGGGCCCAGTATGACAAGCTTGATTGAACAAGTTTCAGTAGATCCACACCAGTTACATACCCTCAAACAATATGGGTTAAACGATTAGCAGGCCCAATTAATTCTAAGAGGTCATAACCCAAATGTTCAGCTATTAACCTAACTGATTTTGCTAATTACAACAATTAGGTGAACCGAGTTATTACAGGCTTTTCAAATTAGCTATACACAGAATCAATAAATTACAAAGCGATCTTCAAATTTTAAACTATGGGAATTAAAATAGAGTCAACTATTATACACATGGACACTTCACGCCTATAAAACTTTGAGTCAGGCCTGGTACAGGCCAAACTCCCAAACTTCAACATTAGCTAATGTTTCATCTTCTAGTTACAAATCTAATAGTAAATCAGTGAAACTCCACATACGATATCAAAACACACCAATGGCAATTTCAGCCCTAGATTATTCATACAAGTCACGAGATCAAATCTCATACTCATCCTCTCAGTAGTTACTTAGGTTTACAATATGCTTTAGACATTAGCTACATCAGACAATTCAAACTCAATTCGAATTTGTAATTAGACGTGAAGGAATATCTAAGGAACACATAAATGAATAAATTGAGGCAGATTTTATAACGTCATGGCATCCACATTGGCAAGTACATGATCTGAGACTGAAAGAAGTACCTGGATAGTAATAAACCAGGCTACAATTAGCCCAATAAAAGCGAGAGATAAAAGGACAGGACTCAACTAAGCAGAACACAACACAACTTCAAATATGGACTAAAAACTACATGAAAATCTAGGAAAATAGTATAGAAGACCTTCTTGAATCAATCAATAGCAGTTAATCATTTTTGAGTATGAAAATCAGCCTAAACTTTTATTGTTTTTGTGTTTTTCCTCTCAGTTTTTAAAGCTGGAAATTTCAAATCTCAGAAAGGGAATTTTGAATTTCAAAACCTGTTTTCATCTCTCTTTGGTAAGAAGTGCGTGAGTGAGAATGTATGAGAGTGAATGGGTGTGAATATCATAGTGAATGTGAGCAGTCTGTTATATAGAATAAATTTCAGCATCTTTTAGTTTGCTCCCTTTTCTTTTACCCCTCCTAATTTCTGCTATTTTTCTCCCTCACCCCCGACCTCTCCAGCTTTTTATTGCTAACAGGTCCTTTTTACTCTCTTCTAGAAGCTTCTCCACCGATTAAGCTAAAAATTACTTCAAGTAATTCCCTAATTTTATCTTTTTATCCTTATATTTACCTCTGACTAACAGGCTCATACCTAAACTCCCACTTAACTGGCCGGCCTGTTAAAAAATGGCAGGCCAATTCTTTTGCCCAAATGAACTAGAACAGATCAATAATCTACTGCAAACAAACAATCTCATATGCAATCAAAACTTAATTAATTATAAAGCAATTGACCAAATATGCAACTAAACTAAAATCAAACAACTAATCACCAATTAATCCAAACTATTAATTAAACCTACTTAAATATAAATGTCAATATGTGGTCATTAGACAAAATTAGAGAAAATGGAAAAAGTAGTATACCAGTCAACATAAACAAATCCGGTGAGTGAGTTGAAATCCAATGGTGAAAAGACTCCGGCGAGCAATGGAGAAGAGTGAATTCTGGCCGGTCAACGAGATTTGACCGATCTCTGGTGACCTGGAAGTGAGCTAAAACTAACGCCAATCAATTGCTCTCGTCAAGAGCAATCGATCAACGTAAGTTTCAAGTCAAAACGAATTAAAAAAGGCTGAGAAATTGAAAAAGGGACAAATTTGGTTTTAATACCTAGATCTACTAATCGTGGAATTTGGGTGGAATTTGAGAGAAACGAGTAGTGGATTTAGACAGATGAAGGGCTAGGGATTGTAGGGTGACAATTTGGGGTGGTTTGGAGTGGTACCGCCGCCGTGGACGATTTTTGGCGGGCAGCGAGCGGTGGACAACAGTGAGGGTGAGGAGGAGTCTGAGCGGGGTCTCTTGGGGTGGGGTAGGCTATTTAGGATACTTTTATGGGAACAAAAGGCTAGTTCCAGGCCATTGGATCTTGTTTGAGGGACGATGGAGATAAAAGGCGTCCTGAAGCGGTGTCATTTTGGTTAGTGAAGGACTGGACCGGGTTGAAAAATGAATGGGCTGGTGTTTGAACGGGTTATGGTCTGCATAAGGGAACTGGGTCGCCTAAATCGTGACCCATTTCGAAATAACAAGCTGACGGCCCACTTCGCTTTTTCTTCTTTACTAGATGGATATGGATCATACTTGCATGGGCCCAACATTCATATTTTTAAGCGATTAGGTTTTTGGTATTTTGTATATGATAAAGCTTGACAGTATTATAACTGCTGAAAATATAATTGAATCAAGACACAAAATCTTTGTATTACAAATAATTTATTTTATAATCAGTAGAGAATATCAACCAATGTAATAGATCTAGAATTAGAAAAAGAGGAAAAAATAAAGGCATTGTATGCGACAGCGTTGTCATTAATGAAGTCTTGACAAACTAATGGTGTGGCATGCGTAGCTAAAACCATGATTCATCACTGTCTGCTAACATTTGTTGTTGATGTTATATAAAAATGGAAAGAGGTTGTACTGTTTCAGTATCTTGTTTCTCTTACTCAATAATTTCAGTGAATGAGAGACAAATATAGAAGGCTTTTAGGTTGAAATGCATCAAACTACGAATTCAGCCAAAGAAGACACAAAAAGATAGTGTTACACGAAATAACTAATAGAGGAACTTATTGATTCTATGTTATATAAGTAGAGGAGTTTGAATCTCAATATGTGTTAGTATTATCATAATATGACTTTAGCGCAAAAGGCATACAGTATCGGATGTTAAACTCTTCCATCACTATAAACATGTCCATAAGATAGAAAAGTCTTGTCTAAGGCAGCACATCCTTGAAAAGTATATTACCTTTGCAATAATAACTTTTTCCTTCATTCAACCAAGCAGAATCCCAATATTTTAGTTTACCTTTTAACTTGTCACGACCCAAAAACCCACAATAAATCATGATGGTGCCCAACGTAGCCATTGGACAAGCCAACGATGAACTTTCAATTTTTTAAACTATGCTTAATACTTTCAAAATCGTGAATCTTATTAGATAAAGAAATCAACGCTTTAGAATCATGGGAACTTACAATTTAAATAGAATAAGTAATAAAGGTGTGTCAATGCTAGGTAAAACCAAAACAATTTACAGAATATCCCAAAACCCGGTGTCACAAATGCATGAGCATTTACTAAGGAGTACAATAATAATACATTTGTCTGGAATATAAATAAGACAGGATAAAATAAATAGTGCGATAGAGACTCTGTGGACTGCGATGCATAGCCTGGAGTGCAGCTCATATAAAGTCTCCTCAACAGCTACGCCTATGCACCAAGATGATCAACAAATGAACCTGTCAGATCCTGCACATTTAGTGCAGAAGTGCAGCATGAGTACGTAAATCAACGCGTACCCAGTAAGTATCTAGCCTAACCTCGGAGAAGTAGTACGAGGGGTCGACATCGATACATACTAGTGGTCCAATAAATCAATATGGTAAATCATAAATAAATAAGAGTACAACAATAGTACTAAGGTAAATTTGTAGCTAACACAATCTTCCAAAATTTCTTTTAACGATATCAATTTCTCAATCTCGTATACTATCTCAACAACTCAAAAATATCAAGTGCCAATATCAAACGGATAATGAACTACCATATAAAGTGCAAGGCATCAGTGGAAGGAAAATCTCGTGAATATTCGGACAGCTAGCGATATAACACACGATTATGCCGAGGTCGTACGACCAGATCTCAGAAAGAATATGATACTGCCAAGGAAATCGGCCCAATTCCATCATAACGTGTACACTGCCGAGGGTCGAGCGGTAGGAACCATAGATGCATCTATTATACTGTCGAGACGAATGGCCCGCTCCCATGAGAGTGTGGTACATAATCCTGCCGAGGCGTCCAACTCACTCCAAAGAAGGAAAGGAATTATCGAATTACGAGACACGAGCTTATGATACAGTATATGAACACAAGGTGAGTATAACCTTTACCGTTTCTCAAATAACTTGCCAAAAACTCAAGGTGATAAGCCTCGGCCTAATATATAAGTAATTTCTAAATCAAGTTCAATTATAATTTCAATTAGTTAAGCAAGCAGAATGAGTTCAAATAATTCAAATATTTCATAATAGGGTCCTAAGTCTACCCAGACATAAACATGCTTTAGCTACGTACGGACTCTCGTCACCTCGTACGTACGCAACACCCACAACTAGTAGCACATAATAATTACATCACCTAGTGGGTAGTTTTCGCCTAACAAGGTTAGACATGAGACTTACCTCGCTCTGAAGTTCCATAACAGACTCCAACGCCTCTCTAACTCTTCAATTCAAAGCGAAACTAGTCAAACAATGTACAACTCAATCAAAATATACTCCAATCCTTATAATTAATCAATTTATAATAATTCCTAACTCCGCTCGAAAAGTCAATAAAGTCAACCCTCGGGCCCACGTGCGCGGATTATGAAATTTTTCAAAAATAAACTTTACCCATAACATTACGAACTCAAATATCTGACTTATTCCAAATTCCATGTCCAATTTCGTGGTAAAACTCCAAAAATACCAAATTCTAGGTTTTCTTCACAATCTCACAATTTCCACCAATTTCTATGTTCCAATCCATGTATAATTCATGTATTTAACTCACAATGAGAAGAAATCACTTACCTCCTAGCTGATGATGAAAATGGTGCTCCAAAATCGTTCCCAAAGTCGGCTCCCATAAAGAAATGGAGTGAAAATGAGCCAAACTCCCGTCTTTAAAAAGACACTGCCCAACACCTCCTTATTCGCGAACGCGGCCTTATTCTCGCGTTCGCAAAGAGCATTCTCGCCCCAACTCTAAAACTCCCCTACACGAACATGATGCATCGGTTGCGAACATGGTGACCAACCCCTCCGCCCTTTCGCAAACACGACACCAGACATGCGAACGTGTAGAACAAACCCCTGGTTCCACCTCCTGTCTGCCTGTCTACGCGATTGCATAGACCCATTCGCGATCGTGAAGCACTGCCACCTCCAAGGCTTTGCGAACGCACACCCCCAACCTCGAACGCGATGAACAAAATGGCCAAACGCCCCACAGACCTTCGCGAATGCGAAGAAGGATGCACCAGACCTCAACAAACAACAGTCCAAACATAGCGAAAAGACCTATAGCCCCTCTGAAACTCACCCGAGGCCCCAGGACCCCGTCCGATCACACCAACAAGTCCCAATACATGACGCAAACCTGCTCGAGGCCTCTAATCATAAGAAACAACATCAAAACTACGAATCGAAACCTTTCTTTAAACTTTAAAACTTCGACGAATGCGTCCGATTCATACTTAAACATTCCGAAATGACGCCAAACTTTACGTACAAGTCATAAATCATGATACGAACCTATTCCAAGGTCCGGAACCTCAAACGGACATCGATAACATCAAAATACACTTCAAACCAAACTTATGCAATTCTAAAACTTTCAAAATGCCAACTTTCCACAATATGCGCCGAAATGCTCCCGGACCGCGCGATACTTAACCCGAATATACGCCTAAGTCCGAAATCATCATAAGAACCTATTGGAACCTTCAAATCCCGATTCCAAGGTCATTTACTCAAAAGTCAAACCTTAGTCAATTCTTCCAACTTAAAGCTTCCGAAATTAGAATTTTCCATCCGAATCAACTCTGAACTTCCCGAAATTCGATTATGACTACGCGTACAAGTCATAAAACATGAAGTGAAGCTACTCAAGGCCTCAAACCGCCGAGCAACACGCTAGAGCTCAAAATGACCGGTCGGGTTGTTATATTGTCCCCTACTTAAACATACGTTCGCCCTCGAACGTGCCAAGGACTGTCCCGGAATTGCCCCGAAATCACTGTTCAACACCGTGTGCACCTACCCATGCCACCACAACCCAGTTGAGCACATTAGCTCAAGCCAGACTGAAGATCTTCTCTTTTACCTTAGCCAACAAGCCTTAGTGCCAAATTCCAACATTCGAAATCCACCACGAGACCTGATTCCAACATACAAACACCGCATTAATCACCAGACACTATACCCAACATGATCATGCTCCTCTGCTAAAATCACACCATGCACCACATAAGTTACTGGACCATAATAACATCCTACGACCACAATAGCTGCAATTTCACAAACCCGGTGCCTGCAATACACCTCATAACACATATAAGCCCTGCTCAAACTCTCGCAATACTGCCACGACGGAAGAGATGTGTAGAAACTGATAACCACCTGACGAATCAACAAATCATGGAGTCTCTCTTCCTGACAAGAACCATTACCTCATTCTGAACTGAATAACGATATTTGCCCTTTAATATACCTTATATACATCTGATTGCACCGATTTTAGGTCCAATAATCCCGTCTCACCCAGTACAAGCTGCTCAGGCAATAAGCCACCTTAAACACTAACCAAGATCTCATATGACGCCATCAATGCGCCGACAAGCCACAACTTGAATATGACCCATAAGGAGGAACAAACTCTGGAAAAGAATTACCCAGCTCGCGTAACGAATAAAATGGTCGAACAGATGCTATGAACCCTTCTCAAAGGATGAGAAATGAAATACACAAGAATAGATATAGGGAACCGTACTCAACATCTCACCGTTGCGGCGTGTAACCTAATCCACACATGATACCATTGCGACGTGCAACCCGATCCAAACAACATACCCGTGGTGGCGTGCCACCCGATCCACACATAACAAAAAATAAGGAAATACCCATCAAACCATAATTCTTATACCTACAAAATACTCGAATATCGATCACAAGCACGCCAAGTGCAAAAATACAACCCTGGGGAGACGGATAGCGCCATACGCTACAAAACCCAGGCACGACTAAGGTGCGATAAATGACCTGCATCTCGATAGCCATCCTATTCATATAACACCACAAGCTACA